CTGCGACATGAGTTTTTGCATCGCTTATATGTGTCGCAATCGACACAATCGTAAAAATGCGGATCAACGCGAACTAGAGGCTGCGAGAGGCGTTCGAATTTCGTTTCACAAGTACGATATCGCAATTTTTCGAGAATAATATAGTAATTAAAAGCAATTTTCGTTAATATTAGATTAGTTACGCTGACTCAACGCACATCTATGCGTACGATTTTACCTAATTTTTTTTCCCACCGTGTGTGAGTTCGCAATTCGTCGAATTCCGTAAAACTTCAGCGAGAAGCGTTCGGATATTTCCGCCGATCACGAATTCACACGAAGTAGTCTACGACGCGTCGCGAAGTGAATACCTCGCAATTTCCAGTCTATACTTTATATGTCTATGATCCCCGGTAAAGTAAATAAAAATTATTACGTATTACTTACAGAGACGAATCGGTTCGATGTTAAATAAAGTGAGCGCATCCGGAAAATGTGGCGCACCTCTGTCGTCGAAAAAAACTAGATGTGAAAAATTATAATTAATTAGATTCGTTTCTCATTGGTCGCGTTTGTCTTCTCGTTCTTTTGATATAAATTTAAATTCTCCGAATTATCTCTTTCGTGATTATTAAAAATTCTTTTGTTACAACATATATCTACTGTTACAATCATCTTTTGATCTTCATAAAAAAATTGTTTGAAAACGTTTTATTGTAAGATCGAGTAACAGAATATCATCTTCTTTTCATATCATAATTTTTTAGCTTCATTGAACATCAAACAAAAATCCGTATGTTCTCGTCTTAAGAATTTCCCATTTTTAATTTTATATATCCAATATCTTTCTTTCTTTCTTAAACCAGCGTCAAAAAGCGTTTATCCTAAGGCAAGAAAGCCCTTTTCTGAAAGATAATTAGATATTCTCAATGAGAATGTCACATGCCTCTGAAGTTTGTTAGTAAACTAAGAACATAATCTCACTCTCAGAGGACGGTGTTTTAGAAACACCGACGTAAAATAGAGAATACCGAAACACGCGCTCTTCTTACCGCGAGAACACGATTTTTTTTTTTTTTCAGTGAACTAAAATGTAGTGTACGTAGTAAAATAAATCTTCGTGCTGGCTACACACATCGCGCGGTGTGTGTATTTTCGTTGTTAGGATGTTTACCTCGTAACATCCCGGGATCAGTCGTCTGTTCGACGTGAAAACGTATATACGCGAAATATTTCTCCGCGAACGCTATTCTCGCGTATCGCGTCCGGCCTATCTCGCTTTTTCACACAAGACCACAATCTTGGACCAAAAGAGTAGAACGTGCATTATCGTGTGCGCAGATCCGTGAAAATAAGATATCTCGTTTTGCAGCGCGAAGCAGCGGAACGTGTGTGCGAGAGGGTCGAGAGAAAAGGCGCAGACGCCCACCCTTTCTCCCTTCTCTCTTCTTCCTCTCTTTTCTCGTGACGGCTGACCAAACACACATCGCGATCTGTTTTACGTTTTACGCTGTGTGTTTCTCTTTTCTCTCGCGATATTCCACCGCGCCATTCCACGCTCTTCTTTTTCTCTTCGATCGGCGTTTTCGCGCGAATCGAACGCGAATACGTGTAGCCCACGCGGTAGTAACTTCGTTCCCCGTTGATTTGTCGACGTTTCAGCGCCGTGAAAAACATTTTCACCGTAACTCTTTTCACGCGTTTCGCGAGACGGGAAAAAAGACGAGAAAAAGAGGAAGCGTCGGGAAAAGAAAGAAAAAAAAAACGCGGAATCTTCGAGAAAGAGTTGTTATGGTATTTCTATCCACTCGGTATCCCCGTAACGGGTGAACCTTCGGCAAACATTTACATTGTCTATATGTATAGAAATAAGAATGAAATTCATTGACAAACATTCTCGCGCGGATCACGCGCGCGAGTTAGAAAACCGCAAACCAGTGTTTCTCGAGTGTAAAATTGTAAGGAGGGCAAGTTAATTTCTTATGCAGACGACGGCGGTGGCGCGTTTGAAATTCTTCGGGACGGTCTTTGAAATACAAACAATACTGTCTGCATTATGCAAACGTCGAATTTACGTAACTACTGGTATATACAGAACGTCCGCGTCGGGAGAAACGATTTTTAGCGAACACGCGAAGGCGTCGTGTGACGCGCGAAACAGCATCTCCTCCGACTTATATTTCTCTTTTATGTATTTGCGTAACAATAATTGTAATCGAAGCAAAACGACGTACATAAAATTGTGTTACGTTGAATCGTTATATATTGTCGCAGGATCGAATTTAAGAGGCTATTAAATCGAAATTTTTCCGTAAGCTGTATTTACACACGCGAACCATAAATCGATGGCGGGCAATTGATAAGAACAATCGCAAACTCAACAGGTGTTAGACTGCGTGGCGTAAATAAAATTCAGACGATAAGAAAAACGAAAGTAAAAACATAATGATTCTTTAAATCGCGCTATAGAAAATTTTACCGAGTTTGTTACTCACAGAATAAACATCGCGTGAACATCGTATATAAATTACAGTAGAGACTCCCCATTATCCGAACCTTCATCCAAATAATCCTAATATCCGAACAACGTTTCGTATATATAGCAATGTTTGTATTCAATATATTTACATGTACAGACGGCGTCATTAACCTTTTCGCTCCGGGGATTTTTCCTTTAAAATTGACCTCGCATTTTAGCTGAAAAAGTTAATAATAACCTGCTACCCCCCCCTTCAAAGTTAATTTTGAAGGTCAAAGAAGTAACCAGGATTTTTTTCAATTTTTTTCCTAAATTTAGTGCATTAAATTGACCTTATAAACATCTATTACGTTCGCTTTTCTTGCTGGTCCATATATGGACCAGTCCCGGAGCGAAAAGGTTAATTCGAAGAATAGGGGCGGGGATCACATAAAAAGTCCAGTTGATCCAAATATCCATTAGTCCCAAAATCGAGTGTCCAGTTGTGGACACCCGATTGCTACTAGTTAGTTAGTACGGCGCCCGTTGGCGCTACGAGCAACCGCCCCGCTTGCCCTCCGATCCCCGCGCCTATTCTTCAAATTAATGACGCCGTCTGTACGTTCGGATGATAGAATGTTCGGATATTAGAATTATTCGGATAATGGGGGATTCGGATATATGAGAGTCTCTACCGTACTCGTTTGATCGTGCGTATCGCGAATGATTAATTTTTTTTAATCAAATTGTGTTGAATAAATTAGGCGTTACTGAACTAGTTTTGCTGGATGTTTTGCAGATGTATTGAAATTTGATATTATGTAACAAACGTTTCGACTTTTGTTTTAAGTTCTTCCTCAGTGTGCTGTACAATAAATTACATATTCGGTAATGAAATCGTTTTACATAGGTTTAAATAACATTTATTAAATTATCAATTAAAAGTGTTTTGGAATGTTTAAATGTAGTTAACCTTAGAATATACAATAGATATTTAGACTAATGACGTACCTTTATTCTATGAATTCTCACATCTGTATATCTCTATTAGTCATGTGATTAAAATGATGTTATTTAGTCAAGGGTGTCTTTAAGACTGAATTTGAATGTGACAGAGTGGGAATGGTTTTAAATGGTTTTTAAAATTTTTTTTAAGTTTGAACAAAAATACACGCGTGCAATCAGTAGTTGCAAAAGTTTGACAGTGTAAATGAGAGATAATAATATTATACATGTATATACGAGAAAAGATATATTGGAGATATGAATAAAAGATGCGAAACAAATCCAATGTTGATAAAAATAAACTAATAGAAAAACAAAATATTTGAATTATTCGTTTGCTTTGTGCTTGTGCAAACTGCATATATTAACTGCATATATATATTCATCGGCATCGGTCGGATGGTCCGTTTTTTTTTTTTCTTGTTTTTGTTTTTTTCCTTTTTGCACATATCGCATCTCTTATTGATTGAACATCCGCCACCTTCATCGTGCAAAACGAATTATCATAAACTGATTAACTGACGAGTGTATCGAATACACGACAATGAAAATATTGACCATCCGCAACAAAATAATATCATTAATATTATTAACGCGGATGCATCTCTCTCAGCGTTTGCCAGCAGCAAACAGAGCTCACCGATGGAAATTCCATTAAACTAATTAATATGCGTTAATTCCAAACGTTACTTTTAAATAAATTGTGAACACGGCGACTAGCTTTGTGTGGTATCGTTTGTGTGTTTCAGGGTCGATAAGCAACATAGACGGCGCGGAATATCACTGCAACAAAACCGCCGTGCGAAAAGTAATTAGCGGGGTCGTCGGAGCGGCGAGTTCAGTTACGTCGATTCAGGTTGCCAATCTCTTGCGATTGTTCAAGATTCCTCAGGTAAGTCTTTATTATTATTCAATTGTATTTTATAATACAAAAAGAGCGTGTGTAATTATTAAATTAATATATTACACAAAACAATGTAACGTATTTAGAAAATGTTTCACGTATTCATTTGTAAATATAAAATGCATTGCAACTTTACGTTTTGTATTTTTAAAGCTTCGAACCAGCAGTTTCGTTGTTTCTCACGCTGTTTTACATTATTCAATACGAAGAAAATGCGGTGAATGCAAATAGAAAATTTCGGACATGCGGTTTGACGTTTTCAACTGTGCGCTGTGTTTTTCGATAGCGCCGTAAAACAAAAAAATTCACGAGAGTCACGGAAAGACTCGATACTGTCGCGCGCGTTGCTGAGGGTGAAAATCCGAGGTGGCAGTAAACCGTGAAAACTTTATTCTTGACGTGAGAATTTACGGAAGTCGCGGTTTAAAATCTTCGTACCGTGAAATCACCTCCTCCGACGGTATACTCTCCTTACAAGCCATTCGAGTCTCTTGGACCGTTTTAGCTCTCTCAGCCCTCTATTAGTTGAGGTTTAACGGGTGCCACTATAACGCGTTAGCCATCCGACCGCGAAAGTGCCGTATTGCTGTTAAACTTTAACTCTAACTTCCTGCCGTGCCCGATATTTGTCGTCGACCGCCGATCAGGCGTAATGCAGAAATGAAACTTTGACAGCGCTAATTTGCAAGCTCCGTGGAATAAACGAGAATAAGATCAAGTTAGTCGAAAACTTTTATTTAAGTCGTATGAATTATAGAAATAAAAACACATCCTTTTTTTAAAATTTCACGACGGGTTTCGACGTTTCTCGACTGAAATCGAACACGCGCGAACATGAAAAATTCCAAAATAATATCAAAAATTTACGCATGTCAGTAGGTAGAAAAACAGGTTAAAAACTTAAATGTATAAAAATTAATAATATATCAACAAAACTTGGAATTATCTCGATTTTTGTTCCAACGAAACCAGTCAATCCAAAATAACGTTGGTTAGGACACGCTCGCTAATTCAAGCTTTACCTCTTTGTTCATGATTCGACTATCATATTCGAAACCGATATTCTGTATATAATGCGCACGCGCTTAAGAACTTCGCAATGATAATTTATCCTCTACACAACATCTTTATCCCCAAACGCCAACAGCCGATTATGCTAGGCGAGAGATGAGATTAATTCTGCTTATATCGTCCATATTGAGGATCGGCCGTTTTACAACATCAAAAGTCTTTTGTCGTGACGAGTGTGCGACGGCGCACAGATCGATCGCGTTAATACATAGATTTACATGCAAAGTTATGAAGATCGCATTAAGGATCAAACCCAGGGAATTGGTACAACAATAAACGATAATGATCCTTAGCTTGTCAAGCAAAATTAACGCGCGATCAAATAACGAAATAAATGACGTATGCGGGATTTGTCAGAGAAAGACGCGCGTATATATGTTAAGTATTATGTATTTTACAATGTGTCAATCGTGCAGACTTGACGTTTAACAACAGAGTGCGTCCTTTCGCTCATCGAAAATCTTTGTGGTGCGTGACGGAACAAAATTAGAGACGTAGAGAAAACGGAAATGTGTAACACATCCTCACGTGCTGACACGTGAGAAACGACGCGTTACTTCTAGGCGAAGATTTCGAGTCAAGTGACTTGAGTCGAAGAACGAATATCTCTCAGCAAAAACACGTGCTGTCACCGCCAATTCATGCCTTTGAAAATCCACGGCGGCGAACTTTCTCGAAGAGATTTCGTGGGGATTCGGGGAAAGATGTGGAAAGGATCAGGCAAGGAATATAAGTCTCAAGAAACTGCGGCGGATTTAATTTCGGTTCATAATTTCGCCGTGCGGTGGGATTTTTACACATTTTCCACAAAGTGTGCTCTTTCTATCTCTCTTCCTCTCTCTCTCTCTTTCTTTCTTTCGTGAAACAGACACACAACGCCGCGATCTGCAACTTTATACAGCTACTTGAAGTTCAGAGAAACGACTCTCAGGAGTGCATTTGAATTGCATTTGTATGAGGAAACGGAGAATAATATCGGACGCGGGGCCAAACAAATTTCAGATTCTGATTTTATACAAGCTCGGAACAAAGACGTGTAGACTTCCCCTCCGCTATCGCAAAAAGTAATCAAACTGAAAAATAATATGCAATATATATATATATATATATATATAATTTAATATATATATATATATATAATTATTTTCACAAGATCGACTAGAGTTTAATTATATATATATATAATATATATATATATATAATTTTTTTCACTTATATATAATATATATACATATGTGTTAAAGTTTCTCTAAACTTTACTGTGAATTAATAGCACTCGAGAACCGTAAAATCACCCCTAGGGGTCTGCTCTATCTCTTGAAATAATAACAATTCTGCTATTTCATTTTATATAATACAATATCTATTATTTTCCGCGTAGAATTTCTTTCAAACCATTTCAGAAACAAAAATATTTAACGAGTGGATATAATCTACAAATATTTTATTAGACGCAAAGTTTGAATTGCTCAATAACAATTTCATGTTATCGAAACTTGCGTGATGATAAGAATCGCGAACTTATAATTCGACAATTTGTCGAAACTTTAACTGGATCTCATGACGTTGTATCGTTCGTGTTTTTTTTTTTTCTGTTCTTTTTTTTTCTTTTTTTTTTTAGTTATCGTTATTGCTCCCAGCAGACTAAAAGTTTTCTTATATTCGCTACATTACAAAATAGTTTACTTTCCTCGTGCCCATTCTAGCCTCTTCTCGATGTGTCCGTTAAACTAGTCGATCTTGTGAAAACTTGTCGGCTTCTACGTTGCGCCAAACTACTAGGAAACTGTTCGAGAATGTATGTGACGCGAACCGTGATCGGCTCCCCTCTTGGCATTAGAGACGTTATTCTGAAAAAAGTCCTTGCAAACTTTTATGAATTTTCCAGACCCAGTCAATTTCATACTTTTACTTAAAGATCCAAAGTCGACAAGCATGTAACAAGCTCGTTCTTTCGGACAATTTAAATCGCCAGTGCTACTTACTTTGTCGTCGGATGTTTTTTTTTTTTTTTCCTAATCAATTTCTAATCAATTTGTTCCAAGCTAATTATCTGCAATGAGACACGATGATGACATTACCGTCGAACCATAATTAAGTTGCAATATATAACATAATTTTTCTTAGCGTATAAATTTTTGAACGAGCAAAACATTGTTTTTCGAGTTATTCGAGTTTGTTTGTTTTTTGTTCTCACGCTCCGCGAGTGTTGCAGATAACTGATGAGTCGTTATTTTTTTTCGGTTGCGAAATAGCTGTCCGATCGAGGAGATATAACCATAACTTGTCCCGTGAACTACTGCACTTCTCTCCTCGTGCAACCTCAGCAATTTACGTTTATACATATTCATAACAGGTTCACGGGATCGGAAAGCGTTCGATCTTCGTCACTTACGAGGTGATTCGTAACACGGTCTGATTAAAGCTGATTTCCTCCAGTGACAGAGAACACGTCTTCCCTATTACGAAGAACTCTATCTTTCCGGAGTGGCAATTTAATCATTCGAAAGTAATCAATCTTGCGCCTTACTCGCGACGCCTAAACTTTCTACTTAAAGTATAGGTCCCGCATTCGACGTGAGATTTTTCTTTCTCACAAAATGTTATTCTTTTATATATATATGTATATATGTATAGATATATATTGCAATATGCAACACTTATATGTATATAAGCGGAAATGTGTGTTCGGTTCGAGATAAATGCATTTTTAAATTGGCTATGCGGTATCTCTCCCGCGACGGAATGCATTATTCATCCCGTTGATCGCGAGCTTATATCGACAGTATCGTCGCTCGTCGCATTTACATGCGATCGCGAAGCGATGGACGACCGGCCAACTAAAACGATTTTACCCCGCACCTTGTCAGCGAGATGACGTACACACGATCGACGTTAGAAACGTAGGCGTACAACACTCTCTGGCCATAAGCGTCTGGCCACGTGAACGGAAAGTGCATACGCGTCAAAGGAGTACCTCGTTCCTATTCCCGTCAATCAGCTTGTACCTGCGTGCGTATACATATGTGATCGACAAGTGGAACAAGGAGTCGGCGACACACACGCACATACAAAGACTCCAACTCTCTGGCAGCTCTCCGTGAAAGATTGATGTAAATTACTGATATATTGATATACATGCACGCACATACTTATAAAATTACTTCACGTGTCGTACATTTTATTTCTTGAAACACAATATAAGCTGAAACTTGAGAATAACGTTCCTTCACAAGAGAGACTGTATATGTTAGATATATAAAGGTAGGAAGAGAATAAATTGTTTCCGTCAAATAATGTAAAAAAAAAAAAAAAAATTTACTCTCGGAATTATTCTTCTGTACAACAGCAAAGAGTCTAATAATGTAATACAAGATCCCGAGTTTATCGAGTAAATAATAATTCAACCACAGAGATAAAAGTCTGAGCTGAAAATTAATAAAGTGTGTTAATTGGATCATACACTAGCTGGCTTGTATACATATATTAAAAAAGATTATAATGTTGAACGTTATAAATTTATTATTTTTCAATATTTCTCATTATTATGCATCAATATATTTTCATAAATATTTGCAATTTATTATTTAAAAGGAATTCTCGCACGACACGCACACGCCATACAGTTTTTCTTTTTTTTTCTAACCAGATAAAACCGTTAATAATTTTGTTTATTAATTATTGCTTGTTTAATTGAAATAAAATAGCTTTAATCACACCGAGTACACGTTGATCGTAAATTTCAGTCACGGCGAATTTTGCAAATCAAATTAGTCGAAAAGAAACCGCTCAACAGCAATTTCTGTAAGTGGTTCTCCAGTCGTTGCTGAAAACGCAAAGGGATTACGATCGAGATTCAAGACCGTAAGCCAACGCCGAGTTCAAGTCAGATGAACTAAATAATGAAATCGCATCTCGTCAGGAAGCTGCATCGCGTCCTTACGAAATTTCTCACTTGAATATATGCCGTCGACGTAGCTCGTCGCGCAGCTGGGATTTGAATAATGATCGATAAAGTTCTCGTCCCTTTCCGTCGTCGTCGTCGTGGTTGTCGTCGAATCTCCTCGATCGCATCTATTCGCCGAAAGAAAAAGACAGAAGCAAGTGCAGTACAAAAATTTCCGAGTGGAAAATTTGCTTTGCGCAGTGATATTAAAGAGGAAAATGAAAAACGTTCATTAAGACCGCCGTCTCATCGCGCACGGAGGTCGAGTCTCGGAGATAATACTTGGAAAAAAAAAGAAATAATTAGATTCGATCTATAAAGCCTTCGTCTCGGACGACGACGGGCCGCGATTTACATTATCCGATTAAGAGTACAGTTATAATCGCTCGTAAAATTTTTTAATTAACCCGAACTCGCAACTCCGATCGCCGCGAAAAATTAGCATTTTTATCGCTACTCGATTCAGTCGCTAAGTACTATTTTCTCGCGATAAATGTATCTTCGAAGTGCGATCATCTTCTTCTCGTCGTTATACAAACCGATATCTTTTCATAATTATATATTCAGTTAAAAATTTATACGCGACGCGAGAATGTTTATACAAGACTTTGAAATTAATTTGATTTCAAAGAGCGTTCAAATTGCTACGCGAATATATATACTCACAGAGAACAAGTAAACGAAATAAAACAATCGAATCAATCGTATCAATCCGTCGAAATAACTATATGTATAAAAATTAAACAAAAAAAAAATTAAAATTCTTGTAACACTTGATTACACCGTTGATGTATGCGAAGCACATCTAATTCTTGTTACCGAGTCGCATGAAGCATTGACAAATTATCGTATAATTTGGCACAACAAGTTCCATTTTATCAGCGTAGCTTTTGTGCTCGCAATTTCACACAGTTTGAGCGCAGCCGGTTCATTTCAATTAACGATAACGTCATTTTCTAAATTCCACAAAGGGATCGGCTATATTGATTACGACCCTCAGACGTGGTCACGATAAAAAATGCAAATATCCCGACATAGAATCCGGCGCATTGCATCCGTATCACGTAATCTTCAATTAACCCCGTAGATAATGGTGGAACAAAGATCGATATGAGATACGTGCAACTTAATATGAATTTTTTGATGCACGTAAAAATTATTTTTTTTTTTTTTTTTTAGCAAATTTCTAATTAAGCACAATCTGCTGATACTTGCATTTCTTTCGCACTATGTGCGATGTTTTACGTAAATTGTTCGATACCGTGTAGTTTTTTGCCGCACGTTTATTTTGTCTTTTGCGTTTAGATAATCGATAAAAAAAAAGCGCAATTGACTACTTATGCGGAAAATTAATATATCTCAGCATGTAATCAATTATTTTGACGCGCGCGCTACCACAATATGATCATCGACAAACAACGTTAATTATAAATATTTGTTACTTATTTCATCACCGACGACGGGATGAAAGAGATGAGATTTTTTTTTTTTGACATTTTGTTCTGATCAATTTAAAGTTTTCCGGACTTTTAACGTTGCTGATGGGAAAAGAAAGGACAAGACGAGAGTGAGAAAAAAATCTTAAATACTCGACTTGACGTCGCGAATAATTCATCAGATTTTCAGTAGACTCTTCTCTACAAGTGCTTTACGAAGATTTATAATGTTTCGTCACAAAGATTTTATAATACTCTCATCTTGCAAAAAAAATGAACGATCTCTGAACCGATCGATCGAGAGCTAATCGAGCGAATTGAGCGATTTCGATCTATCGTCGTCATTGTCGGCGCGCGCGCGCGCGCGCGCGTGCTGGCACATGGTCGGGAACGGACGTGTTAGCGCAGTAAGTGGTTTAGCCACTCTGAATCTGACAAACCGTGATAAATATATTCCCGGCGGTGTGTGCAGCATACCGCTATGTATGATAGAAACGCGCGCATTGTTCCGGAGAAAAGTAGAGCTGGCTACCTTTGCGGCGGCGAGATAACACCCATCTCGTTTCTCACTACATAAACTCATCCGTTGCTTACGCATCGACGCGACGTCGTCGTTGTGATCGGACATTTTGAAATCTCGTTACCGGTCGAGACAAATCGAACAGACAATCGATACCGTTCTATTTGCGCGCGCGCAGAAGTGTTATATAAGATTAAAAAAAAAAAAAAAAAAAAACAATCCGAATTTATTGTTTATGTTTTCAGTGAGTCACAAATTAACTGGTTGATCGAAAATTGAGCTTTTGTGAACAGAGAAGCTTATCGGTTTTTGTGCGATAATCGCGACAACAGGGGCGTATCTTTTTCATCAATGTTTTCTTAACGTGATCGTATCGCGAGAGCCAACCGATGAGAGTTGATCTCGAAGAAGATCGCCATTACGTGACGAAAGGATGATTAATCATCCGAGTTTGCCAGCTCGCGACCACATCAATCCGAAATCACCTTTTTCTCGATAAATGTCACCAATGACGTACGTGGGAGCGTTATGTGAAAAAAGATAGCTCGGTTAGATAAAAACCAGACTGATGGCGAAACTTATTATACGGAATTACATTGCGAAACGCGCGATTTAGACAAACGACAACGACCCTTTGCAATTACGCAGCTATACCGTCGTTGTTCCCTCTCCGAGTGCTTCTTGTCTCCCAAAGGATTGAATGATTAATTTCATATCCTCTATTCCGTTTGAAATCCTCGAGATCCTTAAACTCGTGATTTAAATTACTCGCGTAATTCTCGTTGAGTGCGATGACGAAATATTTGTGTCGGCGGATCGTCAATCGCGGTTTGTTTGTACATACGTTTGAAAATTTTCACTATTCTTTGTGTGTATCTGTGTAGATTTTTACGCTTCTCGAGAGCCTTTAAACTTCGATTCTTTGTGCCGGACGAAGAACTTTGATTTCCGAATATTTGGATCTATACAGTCGCCCCTAAGCCTTTAGATCTTGCGATCTTTTTACGGTCTTTGACTGCGTTTCTTACTACATTCTTCTTGAATCCCCCGCTTCTCTCTCCGAAAGGACAGCTCTTTGATTACTTATATCTCTTGTGCGCTTTGACATTGCATCTCCTTGAAAACGCTCGAATACCAAGACCGTTGTATATTGGCATCCTTGAGATGTTTTTTAGCGAAATTTATGTCACCGTGCATCGAGAGAGCTGGTCTCCTTGCCGGATGATGAGCGGACCGCGTTTTTAAAGAGCATCGAACGACATAAATCAGTCGATTATACGTATCCTTGAATTATCGGCCATGTATCACTGTCTCCAATGATTTTCCCTCGAGAAAAATCCGCGAGCTTACACGTGTGTGACTCTATTTTTTCCTTTCTTTTTCTCTCTTCAGCTATTACATTACACGGCTTTGCTCTCTCGATCTGTTCCGGATCTAGCGGAAGCGGTTTGCGGGACAGAAACGACGGCCACTTTCAAGGGAATTCGAGTTTACTTCGCTTTTAGCTACGTGAATCGTAGTTGCCCGCAATCAGGAACAGAATTTATCCCATACCCGTGCAAACATCCGTATGATATCGCGTATGCGACGCAACGAAGTTCCTCCAATAGGCTTGGCTCTGTGATTAAAACTCAATCTTTCCTGAAAAGAAACTTTCCGACGCTCCGATATGTTTGAGCGAGATTAAAATAGTTTCGGAAAAAAAGAGGCAACTGACTTGAGTGATTTGAGAGACTTGTTGACTCTTAGTTATTATATTATAGAATCTATATAATCAATATAACATATCCCATGCTTTAAAGAAATTGGTTTTATTTCTTTTTTGAAGGTTTTATAAAATTTTCGGATTTTAAATTTTTTATGAATTTAGTTTTATTCTGTAATTGTTTTAACATAACATTTCTATACTCCACAGTGTATTATTTATATTATTTATATTATAGTATAAAGTAATGTACGATTAGAGTAGACATCTGTCATGTGAAAAAATATCGCACTCTTAATATAAAATAATAATAATACGACACGATTGAATCTGGCATTAAAAAATTTGCAATCTACGTCTTTCTGTTTGATTTACAATGGAAATACGACTAGACTTTGTTTTGCGTAGGTCTCCTTTTTCTCAACGAGTCCGGAGCTTTCCAACAAACAACGCTTCGAATATTTCACCCGCACCATTCCCAGCGATCACTATCAGGTCAAAGCAATGGTCGACATTGTGAAAGCGATGAATTGGAGCTACGTCTCCATCATTTACGAGGAGAGTAACTATGGCATAAAGGTAAGGTTACTTTAGAAATCGTAATGTTCTGTTTCTAGTTTATATTCATGGGTTTAATCGGGAAATGCACAAAGAAATGTGAATGCGTATTATATATTCCTTTTATTATTTTTTATTCTATTTGTATATTTCTATATTCTACAGATATTTTGAAAAATCAATAACTATATGTATTGTACAAATGTACAAAACGTGTTTTGTACATATAGAAGAAAAAGAAAATATAATTTGTTTTTTGTTGCATTATAACTGGCTAAAAATTAACAATCAAGAATTATTTTGTTCATTCCTTTAAATTGCGCTATTAAACACGATTGACTGTGAAAATTGACGGTAAATTTAAGTGCGCGTCTATATCTAAGTAAATTCTATCCTTTTATTTTCTTCTCTCTTTTTTTTTACTCTTTTGAAGATATAATATTATTTTCTTCCGACATTGTTACTGTAATGCATTTCGTGATGCTTTCAAACCAAATTAAAAATTCATACGTGAAAATACAATGAATGGTTGATGTTGCGTGTAAATAAATTAATGCAAAATTGTGATACAAACGCGCATTAATACTCTGCATTTCAAAAAAGTACACTTGCAAAATAATTCTAAATTTCTTATAAAGAAGTATACAGGAAAATACACACATACATAGCGGCACGCTCGCTATGCGGCACAACGTGAAATTCAAAGTATGTAGCGAATATATCATACAAATTCTACATACGCAAATACGCGGCATTCGTTCGGAAAATTATTTCGTCTAAAGAGACCTCTTTATGATCGCGAAACTGACAGAGAGACGAATCAATAAATCATAATGCTCGCGGGGAATAAACATGCGAATGAATGTAAAATGAACCGAAGCTTTTATTCGTTGATGCGATCCATTATAATATTTCACAATGGCGCGCAAATGATTTCGACTCGACAACCTCTCTAAAATGCTTGGCCTCGTCGCGCTCTGTGCTCAATCCGATGGAATTATTTAACGTCACATGATCAAAATCACGGTGTCTTTTTTTTTGCTTTTTGCTCACGTGCGATAATCAAGTTTAACCCGGAAGAAACCGACTCGTTAGATTCTTCATTTCTTGTCTTTCCTTTTAAAGACAACTCACCTTTTTTCTCTCTCTCTCTCTCTCTCTTTCTTTCGTTTTTTTTAAATTGCGAACGTGATAATTTTATGCTTCGTATCTTCATATTTTATATTTAGTGGTATGGCCGATTGCTGGCAATTAAGTCTCTTTCTCTAAGCCTATTTTACGGAGTTGTTTGATTTCATCGAATTTTCAGCGAAAGCTGTGAGTGAAAGCAATGTGAATTTTGTAAAGCATTAAATTATGAAAAGTTGCTTTAATTGAAATTTTACTCTCTGATTGAGGTATTCCAAACTGTACAAAACTGAATAAATCTGTACGAAAACTGTAAATTCATATTTATAAATGTATAAATTCACATTTTATGTTTATATTAAATTATAAAAACGGCACGTTCGCCTCTAACGATTTATCATTTCTTTAAAAGCGTCGACTTTTTTTGCTTGGAATTAGTTATATTGCTGCAACGTACGAAGGACAGACGATAGAGAATCGTTATCGATGATATCGCTGCGTTCAAACATTAAATTATTCATACATGTCCGACTATTGTGCTGTCTAATGACACTTACACTGTAGTAATTCAATACGATTCTTCTTCTTTTTTCTTTCTATTTCTTTCTCTCTTTCTTTTTCTTGAGTCCTGAGATGTGAAACAACTTTTGCATTATCATTGCGTAGCCGCGGGATATTGAACATTGTAAAATGCAACATCAGACACAGTAGATAATCCTGAATCTTGTTACGAAACTAGCAGTTGCATGTTAACTACGAAAGTTGCTTGGTATATCCAATGATCTTCTTTTTTTCTGACGTTGAATAAATACAAAAACATAAATAAGTTACAATTTCACCTGCGCATCAAGCTGCGAGAGTTTTTTTAAAAAACGATTCTTTTAAACAAACAACATATATATCGTTCTTACTTCCAAGTAATAGTTCAATGTAACATTAATTCTCCGGCGTATATACGTTACACAAAGAAGATACACGATCGCTTTAATTATGCAAACAAGCGAGACGTGGAGAGAGAGAGAGAAAAAAAACCGGAGAGAAAGCTGCAGTAACAGGTTTTAGATGCTGTCACGGAGTTAGGAAGAAATTATAGCCGGCAAAAAAAATTTTCCTCTGACAGAGACAGCTCCGCGGCTTAGCCGCGTGATAACGATTAATGTCGGGTTAGTATAAAAGTACGCTACTTAGCGCGCGGGTAACGTGTCCGCTCATTCATTTCCGGCTCATCCATGGACCTCATCAAGCGCGTAATTGAGATATATATCAAAATGACGCGCATACATGTCAAATGTGGAAAAACACGCAACTGACACGTGTGCGCGAAAATAGTTCAATTACATGTAATGATGCGCGAATCATAACTATACAGTTTTCGGTTGTATCACCAAAGAGAGAGAGAGAGAGAGAAAGAGATAGATAGATAAATAGATAAATAGTCGCTTTATTTCTAAAGCGCTCCAGGAAGGACCCCTCAAGCACAAAGTTAACAAACAAAATAAAAAAAATACAAAAATATATAAAAATATAAAAAATATAGCAAAACAAAAAATAAAAATAAGAGAAATAAAAAAATAAAAATAAAAATAAGTGAGTAATAAGCGAAACAAAGAAAGAATTGTTTAACATTAAGAATTTGTATAAGTTTCTTTTACAGGTACAAAAGCAAAACAAAAATCAAAATCAAAATAAATGAATATTAAGAAATAAAGAAAAGAATTATGAATTATTTAACAATAAAAATTCGTACAGGGGCTTTCTTTGAAAGTACAAAAAGGCTCCTTGCAGATATCACCCGATATCGAATTCCAAACATCAACGCATAAATAAAAAGTATTTAATGCAAAACAACTTGACGCGGCTGCAAAAGAAAGCCAAAAGCTACTTTAAAGATAATTTTTTTTTTAATTTTTACTTATATATATTATAATACGTCGGTAAAATATTAGAGAAGTACAATTTATATATATTAGAATTATAATTTTATTATAAAATTATACTAGGATTAAAATTGATACTGATAATAAGTTTTGAGTAAGTATCATGTCAGATTTATGCATGTGTCTGATAAATATATTTCATTAAATTCACTATTTGAGGTGCAGCCGCGCCAAGTTGTTTTGCATTAAATACTTTTTATTTTAAAAACTTTTTCTTTTGTTCCATTTCTGTGTTCTAGTAAATGTTTTTGTAAATAATCACGGAAAATAGTTTCGATGGGTTACTTGTTAGTTTCACTAATAAATCGTTTTGTTATTTACAACACGGAGTACTTCGGATATAAAAAACGTGATCTATAAAGTCTACATAAGTTTCTGATTTTTTACACAAATATCGTATAATTATATATAAAAATTATATAGAAAGTATATATTAAGTTTTTTCAATTGTGTGGCGTTACTACTTTATTATAAAATATCACTTCTTTTATAGAATACATTTTGTAGAATGTATTTTGTATTTATATATCTTCACTCAATGATGTGATGCAATGACCCGTGAAATGGTATTGTTGACCTGTTCATCCAATGATAAAGTGTTAGAAAGTGTCACACCAAGATAGACGTCTCAGTCCTTGTATGGAACGATCTCACCATCAGAGAGAAAGAGAGAGAGAGAGAGAGAGAGAGAGAGAGAGAGAGAGAGAGAGAGAGAGAGAGANAGAGAGAGAGAGAGAGAGAGAGAGAGAGAGAGAGAGAGAGAGAGAGAGAGAGAGAGAGGACGAAGAGAAAGGAGCGACTTGAACTGATAAAAAGTGAAGTGAACCTTCAGTAAACGCATAAAATATACAGTTTATTTTATTATTTCAGAAGAAAAATAGCACAAGAAGGAGAGATGGTTTGTGCATTCGTAGAATCCTTAAGAAAAATTTTTGTTTTGCCGCGCAGCGGAAATCTTGAAATTTCTGCTGTTTGTTAAGAAAAGCTGTTTCGCTCGGAGAGTATCTTGAGCCGTATTTTTGAAATACAAAGCGATACGAGGCAACACGGAGAAAAATGTATATCCTATATCTCCGCCGCTGGACGAGGATGTAGAGATGTTTTTTAAATACGCACAAACAGAGAGCGATAAATAATGCGCTCACTACACACCGCGCTGTACTGATAGTCGGCTATAAATATTCGTGGCATGCATAACATCGCGGAACTCGTTATCCGCACGTTAGCGTGTGATTGCGGGTAATATTACGTGTCACGTAAGAGAGAGCGGCATCGAGTGATCTAACATCTCGACTTGAAACATTGATACTTATGAGTGGAAGATCGATCCCTCCTGTGTACAGGGTGCGAGCGCTGACGTATTGTACATGAGCACGCACGAAAGCTCGTGACAATCAATCGTCTTTCACGTATCAATCTTCTCGATTTGCGTTTATTTTTGAAAAACCTTGACGGTCACATCACATAATTTATCGCAGAGAACAAAAACTCATTCTCGAAGAGGAGAGTTTTAAGAAGCTCCACTCTCTACTTAACAGATGTTCTGAACGAGTACGCGAATGTTCCTTTTTTTTTGTTAGATGTCACAGGCGAGAAAGTGTTTTTGTAAGATAAAAAAAATCAATTTGTTGTGATGTAAGAATCAACTTTTTTTTTGTTTCTCGATAATTTTAATTAGTTCCAAAAGAACGTGAAGTTAATAAATAGAAGGAAAAGTATTATTTATTCTTTGATACGCATGAATTTGCGGGAAACGCGCAATCGACAAACGGCACGGCGTGCGTCAAATTTGTGCGATCGCGGCATTAATCACACAATGGTCGCATTTGCAAGCAAAATACGATGATCGATGTCCGCATTAAATTAATATCCCGCAAGCACACGTACGCGCGACATGTACGAGCGGGCGCAGTAACAGGCGGTCGCGTTTCCGGAGCGCGGCGAAATGGCATTTCGATCTATTGCCTACTCGTAAGCGACCGCGACGGCTGACGTCGACGCGATCGAGAGACTTTGCTATAACGTTATAACGAACGATCGGATTTTCATTATCGCGCCCATCGCAATAATGGCCAAACGCCGTCGAGAATCACGCGTGTGCTTAATTTTATGAAACCTTTGTCTATAATATCGCGAAATCTATTTTAGTGCTCCGAAAAGAGTGAAAAAAAAAAACGAAAAAAAACGGGAACAGAGAGGACGTTACATATTTGTTCGATTAAACTCTACAAATAGACAGGAACTACGTGACGATCGATCTTGCATCTGGTTTCACAGAAATGTCGAAAATGTCGATATATCGGAGACAAAGAAATCGGCTGGAAATTGCAGGTCAAGTGTCGAGTACGGTTTTGCCTAAATGTAGAATACCTGAAGAGCCTCAAAGATAATTTTATTTATATCTTGTTTAAATTATTTCGCAACTATCAAGTGTTCTCGCACACGCGAGATATAAAAATAACTTCGACTTGGCTCGGAATTTTAAACGAGCATGTTAAAGCAAGTGTCAATATAAAATCCGAGATCTTTCTTTCTTTTTTTCTTTCTTTCTCTCTCTCTCTCTCTCTCTCTCTCTCTCTCTCTCTCTCGACGTTTGATATCTAAAATAGTTACGCGTGAAGAGAAAAAAACACACGACACGTTTGTTTGCATCCGTTGCAATTCGAGCGTTTCGTGAATAACGAGTAAAATGGATATCGTTTCCTTTCGCACGCGGATTCTTTGATTCTATTTTGCGCGAATCACGTTATTTGAGACGCTTTGTAAAAACCAAAATATTATTTCGCGCAGAAATAACGACGCGCAGAAAACGCGCGCGGTAATCGCAAACACACGTATGAAGAATGAAGACACTCTAAAGAGTCCGAAATACACGAAAAGATCTTTAACCTGATAAATATTTCATACAGAGTGTTCAGAAAATCCGTCCAATCGCGTTCTTTGAACTTTCTTTGTCCCTTGAGATATCGCGAGTTTACACACGCAATCCCTCTTCATTATCTTAAAACTTTCGGGGCTCGTCTTTCGCGGCATCAAATATATATGTATGGAAATTCTTTGGGATTTTTTTCAATATCATCCCCATATTTCTTCTCGCATTCTATATTTATGTCACTCCCGAATAAAATTGGGAGATTTTCCTACAAAGCAACTCGCGACGAACTTGACACGCGCGGCTTTACTCGTCAAAAAACACTTTCTGTGTGACAATGATTTTCAAATCTTTTTCTCTACAAAGAGAGAGAATATCATTATTTTCAACTCGCGACATTCGCCGTTGAAGCCGGTGTACAAACAAATTTGATAAATGTGCAGTGGGGCGTAAATGAGAATTCGAGAGTTGCTTTCAGAGAGGCTTCTAATAACGGGGGCGTCTTTTCGCCATCCGAGTGAGATTGACATTTATTTATGCGACCAAGTTCAATTCTCGCGCAAAGCTGAAACAAGAGCCTGTATTATGAAGCGCCCAACAGTGTTTCGCAATAATGAAGAAAGGGCCGCGGTGTGAATGTATAATGTTATACAGGAACTTCTCAAGCCGAACATAATTCTCCGGATCATACGTTTTAACCACTAATTTATCCCGACCTCAACGAACAATGGTACGCGAAACAGCGCGCGATTTGCGTCACCGGTTTTTTGATAAAGAGCTCAAGAGCTGTGGTTTTTACCAATAGATATTTCGTTATTGGTATTTTTTTATACGTGGATGAAAAGAATAGCAAACCCGCAAAAAGAGAGAAAGAGAGAGAGAGAGAGAGCACTCGCAGGCGGTAAGGAAAACGATCCGAGGTGATTTTAACAATACGTGTCTCGCGGCAAAACAGAGAAAAAGGTAGATTGCTTTTCGCTGCACGTGAAAAGTATGAGGCTTTGCGCTCTTTATTGTTGCAAACTTCATCCCATGGAAAATGTTAGAAAATAGATGAAAATATACAGGAAAAAGGGAAACCATATTCCTGCGTAACTTGGGTTCCTCTTATGTGACGACGCGACCAATCGATATTATTCGCGATACGGGATTGGAAATCGACGATCTTGACGTGATGAATCGCATATGAAAAACGTGCACAGAGAGATAGAGGAAAAGAAAGAAAGAAAGAGAGATAGATAGAGAGAGAGAGAGATTCAGAGGAGAGAACTGATCGATACGAGTGCATATCTATACGTATGATTTCGAAGGGAGCATTTTTCAACGAGCGACCAAAAGCACGGAACAAACGGAGATTTTTATTACGGATATCCATTTGTTCGACGAAGTAACGGAGTTTTTCTATTCAGCTGTCGAGTCTCGCTGCAGAAGTCAATTAGGCGATTCATTTTGCAATTAATGGAGCGAAAGAATCTCGACGCGAGGCGCAAATTCAACTAGCTCTCTCTCAACGTACTTTAACTACCGTAAGATAATTCTCTCTAGTTATGTATTCATATCGCAGAAAGTGAGCATATCTCTAAAACTTTGAAAATTTATAAATTTCTTAACCAAGTTACAATCTCTTCCCGCTCGCATTTTGCCTACTAATTGTAAAATTTTTTAATTAATTCACTGAAACCTGTGTTTTTTAATATAATATTACATTAAAACTTAAAAAGTTATT